AAATGCATAATCCAGCTTTTATCATGGTGTGATCTTTTTCGCATTGCGTTAGATAAGGATCTAGGTTTGTACGTCTCGCATCCTCTAGCATCAATAAGTAAATAATCCTTTACTGGGTGCAGCGCAGCTCAAAATTGCCCAATAGAGTACTGTTTCCTTACTTGCTTGAACAATCCTGTATGCACATGTAATCCTAAAGTTTACCTTAAGACAAATTGTGAGTGGAGAAGCAAACGTCTCATCCCTTTACGGTGGTCCAGGAAAGGACTTATACACTAACGGGTAATTCGCCATTTTTAGAGTCAAGAGTTCAACTTCCGTATGAAAGCCTGAAGATGACTTTGTTGACTTTTCTAGTCTGCAAGCTTAAAGACAGCCGACGCGCTGGTTGCCGTGTGCAAGTGAGGAAGGAGAACCACGTCATCAGTAGCTCCATGCTTTAAGTTCAGAATCGAGTATCTCGCCATCGAAATTCAGAATATGGAGTGGTTGACTTAGTACCGAAAGAACGTTTCCACATCTGCAGAAGAATTTGCCAACTCTAGAATTTATTCTTTACACCGTTCCAACGATGTGTAGGCAAAATTAGAATGGAGGGGCTTTAGTGACAGTTGAACCATCGAATACATGCAATAACAGCAACAGAAGCAAAAGCGCAGCGGTGCATCAAGGCATAGTACAGGACCTAGTAACATCTAGAGAGCAGATTTGAATGTTACAGAGGAAGAAAACAGCTGCAGATCCTGCAGCTAGTGCATTTTTCCTCAACGCTAATGCCTTGAAATGCACAGTGTTGGTTGAGTTAGGCAATGGCATATTTAGCTCATTTATTGCAGCTAAAAGATCTGCATTGCAAAAATGGAACACTCAGGTCTAAAATCAACCTCTTCACACCCACTGCTACTTCGTTATTACATCCAGTGCATAGCATCTAATAGTCCGACCAACAGCGCTTGTAAACACTGCCTCATCATTGTCACTAGCAACAGCAAACGCATCAATCCACTTAATTTTCTTTTTCACTGTAAAACTCTCGGTGAATTTACATGCTTAGCCTGATTGAAATTGAAGCTGGATTTTGTTAACCACGATTACAACTTTATGCCACTAGCATTAAAAAGCAGATATGGCGAAAGGAAGTAGACATCGTGACATTTACTGCAGATTTCCAGTGGGGTATCAGTATGCTAAGTATCTCTTTTGGATTGATGTCACAGAACTGCTCCCCGTACCTTCTCACTTGTAGACCCACTGCCATTAACCATCGCGGATCGCACTGCATCTTCCATGGTTTTCCGTTTCACGCCTTATGGAGGAGATCGTGAACACTTCAATTATACACTAATGTTAAAAGGCAGGGAAGAGAAATTTGCGTGTGATGCCACGAAGGGGAGACGTCAAGTGACTGGTTTACCTGCAAACAGTAAAATAGAAGCGTCCCTCCTGACTTGCTGCAAACACAATCTTTGCAGCTTGCAATCCAATCGAGTAGCCTTTACTAAACCCTCGCGTGAGTTTGACTGTGTTTATTTAAGCAGCACTGCACACTGTAAGTAATCAGCGGAATACCTAGGTGACACATGATATTACTGTGCAACGACATTTTTCAGGAGACAAATTCTTTGGTACAACGGTCATCATGCAAACATCTGTCACAAACCTTTGAGGCTACAAGCAGTGAGGATAAGTAGGGCACGGTTTTGTACATGTGTGCCAGCTTCTGCTGCAGTATGTCAATTTGAACAGCTCCGGATGGAATGGAGTAGATTGGATTAGAGTAGACTTAATTGCCCTTAATAAGAAATGTGCATTAAAATATCCCAGTTCAGCTTCAAAAGGAAACGCATAGCTCAACTAAACCACATCGCCGTAGAGTTTTCGACATGTTTTTGCGTGCCAAATGCGTTCCTTCTACTTTCAGATCCACGTAGTCTAGTCCTCTCCAGTATCACTAGCAACAGCATTCGCGCATATTGGATGGCTCCTGAGCCCAACACAGAACCCATCTCCAAGTACCGTGTCACCGTCACGTCTTACGGCGTCCGCGAAAAATCTAAAACCTCCTTAACTTCGAGCAATCAGTACACCATCAGTGAACTACGACCGACCACGTTGTACAGAGTCAGCGTCACCGCTTGTGCTCGTAATGACGATTGTGGATTGCCTGCTGAAGCCACTACTTGGACGCTTCCTCAAGGTACACTCATATTGCACTTTACATCAAGGTATCGTCTGAGAGGTGTGTCCACCACCTTCGATGAAATGCATCACTTTTACGCTTTAAGCATTCAGTTCCACCCATCTAGTGCTTTTATACTTGGCACGAAGTAAGTTGAAATGAAACGAATGTGC